ATAGTTTAACTTTGCCCATTTAGTGAGTTATCTCATCGTTTGGTTGACTATCCTATGCTCTCCCTACCTGTTTGTTTAAAAGTGGAGTGGTTGCAGATAAAGCATGAAACAGATGCAATTGTGACCAGACACCTGCATTCTCCTGCAAATCACTTTAATTTTTTATCATCTTAAAACGAAATTCAAGGTATTCCAACATAATACCAGATTGTATACATATATATTATTGCTTTTACTGACTCATGCAAATATACGTAATAAACATTTTTCGAATATATTCTTATTTTGAATAAGAAATTAAGTCAACCTCCGTCAAGATGCAAATGACCTTATAGTCATTTAGCTGGACACATTAATTACCATTTACTTCGGAAAGACAGAATGCATATAGCCATTTAAGTTTCTATAATTGTTTAAGACGACTGGCACGAGCGAGATATAGGTCAATGATAAAGTATGATGACTAAGTTTTCATTAATATTTATCTTATTTATGCACATTATAAACGGAAAATTAACCTTTCAAACTTTAAGTATTTAATGTGATAGAGATTTGTATTCTTTATTACACACTATTTTTTCGAGACTACTTAAGCTGGAATATCGTTCTTACTATTTTCACGTTTACCTGGTTCGCATTGAGGTTCGCTCTTCAACGCTGCGCTCACATCGGCGCTACTGTACAGCATCTAATCAAATTTTGTTTTGGCCTAAGGTAAAACACATCTTTCTCATTTTTGGCACTAAGTAAGAGATAAAAATATATAAATATGCTGTAATGTATTTTGGTAAGTGTTTTGCTCTTTCGCCACCACCTTAACATTCACATTAGCTGTTTAAATTTTGACAATATAGTTTGCACATTTTTCTACATCTGACTCACTATATTATTTAGTCTAATGTCAGGCTGTTTATTTTTTGTATTCTATCTCTTATAACCATTTCTTGTGGGCTACGGATTTACTTATATTGCTTAAATTTTTTTACCTCTTTTTTGATCCATTTGGTTGCAGCATTGACTGATTCTCGTCATTCCACGGCTCCGCCTTGGAATGAGGTGGTGGAATCAATTTCATCAGACCTATGCCTCATTGAACCTAGAGTTGATAGCTTTCCAGCTTCCCTTGATATCTTCTACCCAGAATCAGTCTCGGAAGAGACAAGGCATATTCAGGATTCCGCTAGCGGACCACAATTAGTATCAGAGCAACGTCGACTTTCTGGCCGCATTTCCCACCATGGGCCTAGTAGTAATAATGAAGCTTTGTTTCCCTGGTCAGAACTTCCATTTTTCTCGGGAGATAGTGATAAGGACGAGGTTCAAACAGAACTTGGAAGTGATCGAGGAGAGGGGGTGGATGAATATTATTATGACACTTTTGTTGCCGGAGGTGGAGAAGACGAAGAAACGGAGATGACTGAGACAGACTACGATGCTGAAGATAAGATCTGTGACGTTATCTTCTCTCCATCTTCAGCTTTAATTTCTTTGGTCACCGAATCACCACTGGAAGATGATCTTCGGCTTGAGTCACGTACTCGTCGAATTAATCGTTCAGGCCCACCACATTCGGGTCTACCAAGTTGGTTGGTTTGTCTCCTGCGTTGTGAAAATCAACTGCATCGTGCACATAATCTGCAATCTGGAATGCTTCGCTTCAGAACAGAGTCC